ACATGTTCTCTGAAGCGATCTCCGACTCTCCTTCCTGTTTCTCCAATGTACATGGCTGGGCATTTACTGTAAGAGATACAGTAAATAAGGTTGCTGGAGGTACAAGATGCCATCTCGGTGATCTGGAATTGTTCTGATGGGCCTTGAATGAGTGTAGTGTTAGATGTGTACTTGCATGTGATACAGCGGATATTTTTAGATGTTTTATGTTCAATTTGTAAATTGATTTTTCAGGAAAAATAAATAAGATTACGTGGTACCATATACAGTATAATAATGGCCAAATGTGAACAATCATCATGGCATGACAGATTGGTAGCTAAACAAACTTGTAAATCCAACAATATTTTTTAAAACATTCTTTAATACCAAACAGATACATTCCATTCTCTCCTATGTAGTGTTCAGAAACATTGTTTTTTATGGTACTCTTCTGCTGTACGTGTTTAATATGAAATAATCTTGGAATTATTCATTTGTAGTTGTAGATAGAGGAATTGTGTAATTTATGATTGAAACAAAGTTAATGAAATAAATAATTTCAGCCTTATCCCAATAGGTATAATCTTTATGAACCACAGCATATTTCTGTATTGTTATGTCATTTTCTAATTCAGAAATGTATTATGAGAAGACCCAGGATTACCCAGATGAGCCCAGGCTGTTGTATTGTAGCAATACAGTTACTTTATGGGCCATCGGTAACAAAGTCATCTTATTCAAATCAATCAGTTACACCTTATTAACAAGACCTAATCAAAGTGTACTTTCCATAAAGGACATAACTAATTATGGGCTATTTAAAAAGCTGAGTAAAATATTTGATTCCCAAAATACAAGAAGGTACAAACAGTTTCCTACTCTAGAGCATTTTTGTGTGGATGAATTTTGAATACTAGAAAGCATTGAGTACACAACCCACTTAAATGTGTAATTTCTCTCGCCTTTGTGATTTGCAACCTCATTTCTTAGAATAGTACTGCTGTATGCTGTAGACAAATCAGTAACGGACTGCTTCACATTACAGGTCTCAGTCAAATTGATTTTGTGTTAATAAAAACAGATCTCCCATTAAAACAGATGTTATTGAATTGCCGAGTAAAATTAAATAGTTTAATTAATGTTAAATTATTATAAAATATACTCTTCACCATCTTCATAAAACATAATTTCTTAATGTAAGTCCTATGAAAACTGACTTTGGCTACTGCACAAGCAAATTCAGGCCTGCTGGAAAACTAAATACGAATAGTTTCATAGTACCTCAAACTGTGCTCATTTTAAGTATCTAGTCCTTTAGCACCAAATCTTATTAAAACATCTCTCAGGAAGCATTCTCAAAGAAATCAGAAACATTATTTTCATGGCATCTTTGTTCTATCACAATCACAAACACCCAGTCTCACTAAAACACTTTTAAACTACTTTCTCAGTTATTGACTGTAATGAAGGACTAATTTGCAAGCATTCTTGTAAATGACGAAAAGGGACTTACCCCTGTGTGTGAGGTCCCAGTGGCTGGCAGTATTAGTGGAATAATCTCAGAAATATGGTGTGGACTTACAGTACATAAACTTCAACCTTAAATCTACCACTTGAAGTGATTTTTTCCACATAGAATTAAATGAACTTTTAATAACTTCATTTTCCAAAATACACCAAGAAAGAAAACTCATACAAGAAAAGGGATCTCGCACACATTTAATGCATTTAAGCAAATTATAGAATGACTTAATAATAAACCTTTTATGAAATATAATATTTTTTTATAATTTACTAAGGGATAGTAATCTATTTTTAAATGGGTGTTCTCTGTGTAGTACTAAATTAATTCTGCAGAAAGTCATTACCATATTACTAACCATGAAGCAATGGATTTAACTGTAAATGTGACAAATGACATGCAGTTATATGCCACTTTATTTGACCTTGCTTAACCTCAGAAAATTGGATCATTTTAACCTTGAGAAAAAAAAATATGCAGTGATATTTTCAACCTTCACCTTTAATAAAGAAGAGACCTCCAAGTAAATGTCTTACATTTTTATCACAAGTATTTTTATTTATATCTGTTTTATCTCTGTATTAGTTATATCTCAACTACAAGTAGTTAACACTAGAGATGATGTTATGTGGGGACTGTATCAATAGACCAGTGGTGGTGAATCAGCTCAGTTGAACAGAAAACTTCATTTGTCTGTTTTTCTGCTTTTGGTGTACATGTTATCCCAGTGCTTAAAGAGGTTGCCCAGTAGTTTCAGCATATGGTTGGATTTGTTTAAAGACAGAAAACATTTGAAAGACAGAGTTTACATTTTCTTTAATGCGTAAGAAATGTGTTAAAAAGCATTTAAAACAAAAATGTTTTTTTTTAAATGACCGGATTTTCCTCCACGTTACCATATACAGTATATATTCAAAGCAAAATAAGGTACAGTGTAGGTAGCAATTCGTTTAAAAAGCAATTCTAAAAAAGGTAATTAAAGTTGTATGCATTAATGATTTCAAAATCCTCATGTTGAAAATAGTAGAAACATGCATTTTACATTTGTCCTCTAGTATTTTTCTTTTTATTCACCTTCCCCCTCCCAGGTGGGATTCACCAGTTATTAATCTTCCAGAATCGGTTACAATAACCCTCATAACTGTGTAGGTGAGATAAGAACAATGTGCGGTGTCCTCCAAAACATGCACTGTCAGAGCCACCTGCCGCTTATCCACACTCTCAGTCAGCTGGAAGAGTGATGCAGCTCTCATTGACAGCACTGCACTGCAGCCCAAGACACCTGGCCAACTGGAGCCCAAGATGGCCCAGTGACATTTTACAAATGTGCTACTACGTGCTACTACTAATCCTGATCACCTCTGATAAATATAGCCTATATTTGAATGAAACTCTGGATTAGATATAACCTGTGGTGTAGAAGAACACCTTTATTGGGGGAACCACTTCAGAAATATAAATGCTGGATTTTTCCGTGCAGCTTATACTATGGAGACATATGTTTGTTTTTGTATTTCAGCTTTCAAGTATTTGAAAGCAGTTATTTCTACTTTATTTAAATTATCTGAATTGATTTATTCAATATCATAGTTATAAATATAACATTATTATATTTAATTGAATAAATCGGTTTATATTGCAAAATATTTTTTCAAATATTTCACTTCACCTACAACCTCAGTGATGTAATTTATTCTTAGGTTGGTTAAAAAAGGTTATGCTGTTTCTTTAATATTTTAAAGACTCGTGGATCATTCAGATTCATCTCTGAGTTAAAAAGCTTTACTTTTTTTAATTGTGAAAAGTATTTTTAAAAAGTTAATTTGGCATCTTCATCAGTGTAGTTAATTATGTAAATCATTAAGGGCATTAAGTAAAAAGTTTCTTTGGAAATTACATTCCAAATTTCCATTTATTCATTTGCCAACTCAAATTAGGTAGTTCCTAATGCTTTTCCCACAGTTTCCTTTATTTTTATGTTGGTAGGATATTAAGTTTTTTTTTTGAATGGCAATAAAAATAAAGCATTTCCTCTATTGCAATTTGGAGTCAGTGAACCACACAGCATAATTTCACATTTACAGCTAAACCGCAGGACTCAGCTAATTAAAAACACAGCTACTGTTAATTATTCTGTTCCAGCTAATTGATATTCAGTAAGATCTTGTTCTGCAAACCATAAATTTAATTTGACCATCAAGTTTACACTTCATCAATGCATTTTCCCTTAATGGTGTGTAATGCTTTTTAAACTAACTGCAGTCTCATAAACTGCAAGGGACAATATTGCTCAATTTGCTCTTTAGTATTAGAGTACTGCTTATCTATATATCATTATCCAATCATTTTTTCCTTCTGATAGGCTAGCACTGGCAGCTTTAAAGAACTGAGAAGTATTTATATGCTTTTAATTTTTTTTCTGCTTGTGGTTAACACAGCCTTCTTTTTCTGAACTGAATTATTTTTAACAAGACAGCTTTGTTAGTAATTGGAGTTAAAATCAAAATAATTAATCTCTTGGATTCATTTGCTTTAAAGAGATTTGTCAGGTTTAGGTACTGTTATTTAAAAAAGTATTGAATTATTTTTTATCTTCTGTCATTTTTTTGTCTTAAGAATGGTCTGTATTTTTATTTAACAGCAAGCAGATGTACTTAAATAGATCAGATCAAAATAATGGCTAATGCAGTGGAGTACGGTTTGCTTTACAGTTTCAATGTTCTGTTGAACTTACATTTTAACATGCCCACAAATAGACTACAACAAGGACATCTAAATATAAGTAGAACCCTCAATCCCCATCTCTTCCACCTCAACCAATCCCATACTCAGATGTACATCATCAAATGTCAGACAAACTAAAAGACAAGTACAATAGGAAACAGTCAAGACAATGAAAGAACACCAAACAATATCTATTGTAGAATCCCAGATTTCAGTATTCTTATATAGTAAATGTATGTAAATCTCTTTTCTCATGTAATCCTAATAATGTATTTGAAGAAACTATTTTTAGCATCTGGTAATGAAGCCAATAGGAATAGGATCAGATTTTATTTCTATTTGCTAAGTTTGCATGAACATTGCTGGATTGAGTTTCTGTACTTCAAGATGGTACAGATGCTACAGTACAGCCTTTGGTTTGGTTTCCATCTTCAAAGTGATAGATTAAAAATGCTTGTAGTACACAATACAGCCAACCAGTAGCTGCCGCACCTTCATGTACACAAAGTTTGTTTTCAGCACATTCTAAAGCTAAATTTGTGTCCGTTTTTAATTATTTTGATTACATTATTGTTTTTTTTTTCTTTCATGCTTCAGGAAACTGAAAGTAAGGTAAGAAATGAAAATGTGTCCTTAATCCAAATTCTTTTCTCACATGAAAATATGTAATTACACTTTTTTAAATGTTAGCTTTTTATATATTTGCAGTCTATATAGGTTGTGTTCTGCAATACTCTGTATGCGTTAGCAGTTTTAATGGACATTTTGTTCTAGACCCTGTGGCTTTGTATACAAAAGTGCCTGGTATGTTTCACTCCTTGTGATCACATCTGTTTTATATACTAAGCTTGTAGATTGACTTAATCAATATCTTAGAATTTGTAAATCCTTAAAATGCGCTGATCACTGCTTTAAACTAGACTTTTTCATTAGTGAACTGTGATTGAGATTCCCAAACCTGCATTATTTAGTTTATCCAAAGGATACAAAAGCAAGTCACATTTATTCAGCAAAGCATTTCACTGAAGCAATCTGAGAGAAGTACATTTCTCAATGACACAAAAGCAGTGCCCATTTCGGAATTTGAACCCACAGTATTTCAACGACGTGAACAGAGCCCTAGACACTGCTCCACGTCCTGGCCTGTACCGGCCCCATACGGCTTGCCAGGTGACGGTGAGCTTGTAGTGTTAGCTGAGACAGCTGTATCTGTACAAGCCCACAGCCCTTCAAAATGTTGTTTCAGATGTTATTTTCATATACTGTGCTCATTTAATAGTTTCAGCAGTGGGTCAAATCAGTTAAGCATCTCTGATTCCAAATTGGTGGCTTTAAAAATATTTTCTTCTTAATTAAAACAAGATATCTTTGCAGGGCTCTTTTTTCTTTGCTAATTTTAGACATTTATCTTTCTGCATTCACTAAATGGTAGTGCACAGATTAAAAATCCTTTGTCATCTATACCTTGGACATCATAGGTGAGTTTAGATTATACATGCTATCATCTTTCAGTCTGTTTGCATACCCCCCATTACCCCCTTGAGGATTTTCTTAAATAAGGTGAAAAAATGCTTCAGTCACCAAAGACTAAAGACAGGTTTCAATTAATATCATAATTGAAAGTCTTCTTTGTGCTGCAAATTCTTTGAAATTGAGTGTCTGAGCCTCATATATCAAGTGAAAAACTTCAGATGGAATTATCTTTTGGTTACTGTGATCCTGGGCAACTGTAAAACTATAATGTTTCAGAAGCTTTGTGTTCTTCTGTTTTCATTGGTAATTGTATCCATCATTAGTCAGTATATTTCCCCAGTATATTGCTTATTGGTTTATCACTCATAATGCATAATGTCCACTGAGACAACTGTACTAAACTATTGTTCTTAGTGTATTCTGATCTTGATATTTTATATCAAATCTCACTTTTTTCTTTGTGAAAAAGTATTTAATAGTTTTAAATCAGTGTCCATTTTAAATTCTTGGAGTTTTTTTATGATAGTGGTTTAAATAATATTTTAATGTAGGGAACCTTTGTTCATACCTTGTGTATGAGGTATGTAATGTTGACCTTCTCTTTTGTGTTTAAGGCTAAACAACTGGAAGAAAAGGACAGAGAGCTGAGAAAACAAGATGCCTATTACAAGGAGCAACTCGCCAGACTGGAAGAAAGGGTAAGATTAATTAATTCGTCAATTCATTTTATAGATTAAACAGCACCACCACTTCTGATTTTCATTTTAAAATATTCATTACAAGTAGTAGTATAAAGCAAATAAAAAAAGCCATTTGGTGTGTGACTGACCTGAGCCCAGTCACAGTGGGCTAGAATCAGACAACCTTCTGTTGATTTGAAGCTCAGTGTGGAGAGCTGATTATTGGTCTCAGTTCAATATTGTAATCTGTCCATAGCACACAGTACCTCATAAAAATAAAGTTGGAAGATATTTTCATTGTGTGTAAATAACGGAATTTGAGTTGTGTTATGGAGTCATTCAGTAGTTTCAGTATGCTTATTATACCATTAAACTACAAATTAAAGTCCAAAGCTCAAAAGAAGCAATACCTTATCTCATTCTTACAATACCTCAAACTACACAGAGCCCACCTTTCTGTATTCTGTATGTTCTCCCTACCAACCCGCTATTATATATTATTCTGGCTGTCAAGGATTATTAACCTCTGTGTGAGCCTGGTTCACAGTGCTCTGAGCTGTGAGTCAGTGGCAGCTAGAGAAGCAAGTATTAAACAGTATTATTCATCCCATTTGCTGCAGTAAATAGAATTCCACTGTTATGATGTGTCAGGGTTTTAAGAGAAATCCAATTTACAGGACACTAAACTGCCATTTTCACTGCAGAGGTGCTTTATTCCTGGAACTTGCTTTCATATTAATCTTATTGGGAGGAATTATTGGGACCAATCAAGCTGTGGAATGATAATTTAATGATCTCGTTTTGTATCCTCTTATACGCCTCGGAGGATAGGATGCTATGCTACATCTGTGGTAGCCTCAGGGTTCACAATCTGAATTAATGTGAAGTTTGCGTAGAAGGAGACTGCATTCTTCTCACATGTAAGATTTTAGAGAGAAGTGATAGAAATCAAATCCTGTTTGAGATGGGGGGATTTTTTACGTTTCTCTCTGGTTTTTTAAATTTCTTTACAATATTACTTCCAGGTCATACAGAGATAAGATAAGATCACTTTATTGGCCATATACGAATTCTTGTATTAGGAATTTGTCTTTTCACATACCCTAACTTGCTCAGGGAGGGAGAAGCTTGGGGTCAGAGCGCAGGGTGAGCCATTTATATGGCGCCCCTGGTGCAGTTGTGGTTAAGGGCCTTGCTCAGGGGCCCAACGGAGTAGGATTCCTCTGCCGGCCGCAGGATAGGAACTGACAACCTTCCAGCCACAGGCGCAGATCCTGAGCCACAGAGCCACCGCTCCGCCCCAGAGAATTAGAACCAACTGTCCTGTCTTCCAAAGAAAATAAACAGTGAAACTTCATGTCAGTATAGAAGTATTACTTTGTGATCCAGTTATTTTAAACTAGTGAAAACCTTTCTTTGATTCTGGAGAGCAGTGACTGAGCTGCATACAATATGAGTTCCTGATGTGTGGACCTCTTTCTTATCCTATAATAGTGTTTTACAGTACATGTTCTGGTTTTCATTCCATCCGAGTTGTCTTTAGCTTAAGGGAGTATCTACAGATTTCCACCTATTGTCGTGTTGAAAACTATTGAAGCCAGCAGACTGACCAGAACTGAAAAGCACTGCACAGAATTCTTTATATAGTATACTAAGTAGAGATTCAGTATTGTACTGTATATACTCATAAGACTATTCAAGAGATTGAATTGTGCTAGTAGAATGTTATTTACCATACATACATAATGTTCACTTCAGAGTATGCTATTTGAATACTTTAAGTGGGGGAAAAAATAACATTTATGGCAAAGATATATGTTGTGTGGAAAAGACAATATGGTAAGATAATCAGAATATTTGCAAAGACTGCTTTGTGTGACTTAGATTTAATAAAACTTGATTGTAAATAGACATTTTGACTACTTGTATAGCATTTACTGTATTTAGAATTATTTAAATATGATGGGTGAAAAGATGGAGCACAAATATATTACATTACAAATGAGAGGACCCCAAGTCGTCATAATAAAGGAAAATTGTGAAAAGATTTTTTTTTATTAAACTGACAATGCAGTCTGCAACAGCAGAAGTACAGTGTTGCTAAGTTCCTTATAAGCAGCTTGTGGAAAGCTGTGTCATTATAAGCAGGAGCACAGCGAGCGAATCAGAAGAAAAAAGTTCAATATATTACATGTCCCTTTCAATTTACATACCCCATTCATCACAGAACACATTGACAACTCATCAACCGCTACAGACACCATATTGCAGAAGTAATATTTTCATTGCCAAGTTCTGAAAATTGTTTCTGAATCTTATATTTTGTTCAATACGGTCCCTAAATCATATGGTAAAATTTCTGAAAGTCTTACATTTATCAATGCAGCAATCTTTTTTCTGGTTGTAATTTACGGTTTTCAGGATTGATAAAATTCTTATTCCTTTTAACAAGCCACACATTTTAAAATAATCTTACATTTCTCAACTTATATTCCTGTCTCTTAAATATCTATATGCTTTTATATTTTTATGAACGCTTTTTTACTCGTTTAAAATGTCCAAACAGTGACTGAAATAGGAACAAAAGTACATAGCAACATACCCCCCACCCTGCCATATTGGTGTATAGAGTTTAAAGATTCTGGGCTTTAATTGTAAATTAGTACTCTCAACTGCTTAGATCTTATTGCTATTAAGTTCAAACTGGATTTTTTTTTACATTCTCCATACTTAATATAATATATTAAAAAAAGGTTATATAACTGATTCAATAATATAATTCCCAGTAAATAAACATAGCATGACTAACCGCATGAACAGGTTTAAATCCATGGAAGATTAAAAACATGGCTTCTTGTTTTCTATGCATTATCTTGTTATACATGCATAATATAACATTTTGAATGTTTTGATTGTTTACAAATCTGTTGTAGTCACCTTAACAATGAATTAGCATTCTGAGTTACAGGGAGTGCAGATTTAAAGCCCATTGTAAGCATTATCAATACCTGGAAAACATAGTTTAACACAGTGAGTAATGGAGGAACTTTGTAAGACTAGAAAACAGAAAGCTCAGCAGCTTGGTTTTAAATCTCCAAAGGCCTGTTATCTTACATTAAAATCCTTCAAATCAGTAATGTGTGGAAAAACCCAAGCTTTGCACCGAGCCAGTTAATTCAATTAGTGGGATTTATCATCAGATACACAGTATGAGTCTCAAGTATACCACATACTATATCAAAGGTGTTGTCTTCTGATGTTAAGCACAGTAATTAACAAGCTACTGTATTTCCTTTTCCTTTCACTGTCATTTAAGGCTTTTAGGTTTGTAAACCTAGAAATGCATAAACTTATGTTAGAATTCACATGCACAAGCTTCATTTCTTTGGATTAACATACATTACCTTTCACTTATCACTTATTGTACACTGATGGCATAATTTTTTTCATTGTCAGACTAGACCTGCTTGACCTTCGAGCACTGTCGGCTTTCTTGTAGGTGAAATAATGCTATATCTATACTTCCTGTGACACGTGTGCATTCTGTTTGTGTAGTGCTTTCTTTGCTGCTGGTAGTCTATACTGGTCCTGTCTCTGAAGCATATACTTTTATGCTTCTAACTGCACAGATCAGCTCCTTCACAGGTTTTTCGTTAACATAATAGCATGGGCACCAACAAAACTATCAAACAACATATTCATCAACTATTCTACAACATATATTACCATTTAATGAAGATGAAATGATATTCCAGTCTATTTATTTTCTATAATGTCCTTGTGTGCAGGGCTGCTGGGGTCACTGAGCCCTTTGTACTTTTCTACCTTTGCTGCAAGTTCTATGTCATCCATCTTTGAAATGACTCTTAAATTATATTTTCAATCGGATCCAAGGCGTGTTTGACAACTCATTGTTTGCTTGGCCCATGACCTTTGCAACTGGTTATCCACTTCAGGTACAGGGTTTCAAACAGCAGCCCAGGGAATTGAGTGGCATTTGAGCTTGTATGAGGCTAGTGGAACATTGGGATATGATATTGGGATGGTATAGTTAAAAATATATACATTGCATTCTATATTTAACTTACATGGTTTTATGCTCCACTTAAGAGCATAAGAATAGACTTGAAGCATAACAGCAGCAGGACAGAGAGCCTTGTGCTTTGCTGCGTTGCTGACTTACTGCTCAAGCCTTCAGTGTAGACTGAAGCATTGACTACAATAGGCATATAAGTGGAGCAACAGGCGTCAGTCTGTATAATATTTTGCATGTCATTATAAACTAAAAAATGGTTATGTGCAGAAAGTCCTGTAAGAAGAGCATCCTTTTACTTTTGAAGCAAAATGTATTACAGTATATCTATTGTATTGGGTAAAATGCATGTCTCTGGATGTTTTGTTTGTTTTTACACAACTGGAAGTGTGAATGTTAAATACAACACTACACCTTAATGGTTAAGCAGCAGGTCCCACAAAAAATGTGGTAATGAGCATTTTTTCCATCATAAATAAGCCTGAAATGATTAAATGATGGTGGAAAGAAACACATGCAGAGTCTAGTCTGAGTAAATAAATGACTTCTTAATAATTTGACCCGTGATGTCAAAGGTTTCTCTTTAGTGAAGGAAGAGGGTGGTGGTGTCAGCATCCAGAAATTTGACTGTTGTGCTCGAAGGTTTTCCAATTTGTGAAAATTAAAGAATGTACAAGTCATACATAACAATAACACAATACATATACTTTGTGGGTTCAATATTTTTAAAAAGTCTTTTTAATAATTCTGTATTTTGCTTATTCATAGACTTAGCTATGTGATTATGCATTTTACGTTAGAATTGTTTTCAGTCACCCAGTGGTAAAATTGAAGGCATTTCATTTTCATTATTTCTTATATTTTTTTGGTTAATGAGGTTGTTGCTGAATGCATGAAACACTGAGAATCTGGAAATTTGAAATTTGTAAAATTTGCTAAGGAAGTGGAACAAAATGGTAAAGGCCTCTTTGAATTTAAACACTTT